TTCCTTTTTATCCTGGTTAGACAATAAGACTGAACAGTCTCTAGTTCATACTGAGCTCCAACCCTTTGGTTACAGTTGAGAATACATTTTCCCAGAAGTTGTTGAAGGATATTGCAATTGACGAGAATCCTCAGTGCTCTTTTGATACTCTCTTACCATTGTGAAGCAAAAAGATCTTTAGGGAATGACTATTTTGGGCAATGGAAGATATATACCAGTAAAATTCTTTTAACTGGACATGGCTACTGGAAGATATTATACTGAAACAATATGACCCAATTCCTACTAGATCACATAAAAACCTGAGGTCTATCATAAGTCACTGCCTATCACAGGTGGATAAAAAATCATTGCCCAAAAAAGGTTGGAACCAAGTGTGTCCTGGAAGTAAAGACTCCCACTAGGCAATAAGTCTCCTCAAATGGTACATGAGAAGGAAATCAAGATTAAGTATAGATAAGTTTCTCAAACAATTAGAAAAAGAAAGGATATCCCAATTGGGTATTTCTTATTGAGAAGCAGGTCTTTGAAGGAAACTGGGAATATTTTTTTTTCAATTTTTACATTTTCACTTTTTTGCTATCTACTTAAACATTTTTAGATATCCCCTACCCTTTTTTTTTCATTCTATCCTTTTGTAGTTTCCTATATTCCAGTGACTTGATTCAATATATGGCAGTGATAATCTCTTGGCAATGATGTAGTGGACTAGAAGGATCTTTATCCAAAGACACTACGAAGCGAAATATTATTTCTAAGACTGAACTTAGAGGCTATTATGCTTACGACGAGTTAGTTAGATTATGATAATAGTTTAGCTATAGTATATATCATGCTGCTCGAATAAAAATATACTTATGTTTTCAATTGATTAATAAACTGACAATCTAGCCTGACTATAGGTATACAAATAAAAAAAAAAAAACTCCTATTAATTATATTTACAGGTTTTAATAATATTAATAATAATTAGAAAAAATATTTTAAAAAATGTTTTTTTCAAAAATTTTAAGTTTTCAAGAAAGATATCTAAGATATTAAAAGATAAGAGATAGATAATATGAATTGCAAAACCCTATTCTTTTTAAATTTTTCAAGTAATAAAAAGGTTTTTTTAATTATAAATTATAGTTTTTAGATTTTTCTTGAACTATTACAATCTAATATTTACTTAAATAATAGATTTAATTATTTGATGTTACAGGTAATAATAAAAAAAATCTTTTCTAAAATTCAAGTAAAAGTAAAAAATATATTTCAATCAAGCAAATCTTTTTTAAAAGAAAATTATTTAATTGATGAATTTTTTGAAGAAGTTTGAATTATATTTCTTTTTTATTTATTTATTTTTTTCTCTTTATTAACTTAGCAATTTATAATTTTTAGGCAATCTACAATAACAAATTATTGATGATGAATCTAATAAATAAAAGTTTATATCAATCTCTAGAAAAATAAAATACTGTTTCTTAGACCTAACTTAGAATACTTCAATGCAATAACAAGTTAATTATTATATAAAAAATCTGTAATATTGTAAATATTTATTAAACTTCTTAATAAATAGTAAGCCATATAATATGATTGCAAATTAAAAAAAAAAAAAATAAAGAATAAGTAAGTGCCAATCTATTAGAAAAGTAAAATATTGTTTTTTAAATCTAACTTAGAGTATTTAGTTTAATAAACCTTGTTTTGTTTAATCTAAATTATATTAGAGGACTTCTTATATTTTTCAAGTAATATAATTCTTTAACTAATAACAAGTTAGTCATTATGTAAAAGTCAATGAGTATGCTCGATTGCAGGTTAAAAAAAAAACCAAATCTAATATTGATCTTAATTGAACATAGCTGAAATATTCATATGTACATTTTTATATTTTGTAAATACGCAAATAATACACAAGGTTTTCTGCGCCACTCTGAAATTTTTTAATTTATAAAATATCGATCTTTAGTAAAGAAATCGAAATATATTGAAATTATTTTTTTAAGCATGATTGTATTTTGTGTTCCTTGTAATATTCATGCAGTCTTTATCAAGAAACAATTTTTTTAGAGTCAAGTAATATTGATAAACTTCACAAGTATTTTTGAGTCCAATATAATGACACTCAAATTGAATAGGTAAGGTACAAAATTGAAGCGTTAGTTATTTTTGTTCTTCTTGAATAAAGGCAGAGAAAACTTCTCCAACTTTATCCATGCTGACCCAACCACAAAGTGGTGTATTTCCTAGAACATATTGTGTCTTTTTGTTGAAAAATAATAATCCATCAGGTCGATACCCAAAGGAATTGTGATATAGGATTAATGATTTGAGTCTTTCATGGTCACAGGGATACGATGTAAGGGGGATAAATGAATGTGTCGATGTTTCCTGGGTTGATGGATCTGCTTCTGCAAACTTAGTATTTAGCCAATAAAATCTATGGACAAAAGGAATAAGTGAGAATTTAAATATAAAAATATCAAACCAAAATTATTTAATAAACTTAAACCTGAATTCAGTATCGCAATCGTAGATAGGATGTCCTTTCCAACACATCATGTCTAACACGTAGTATGTAGACGTGTTCTGGTCGTAAATACAATCTAATATGCAGTAATCAGTTGTTTTATTCCCCGCGTAGGTACTAGAACCTGCAGGCAAATCGGATTCGAAAGTATCCATAACAAACCCTGGGTAACAAATAAAGTATGAGACAGAATCAGATACGTTAACTATGTTTTAGCTAATGCATCTTACCATTACGCAACCGACAAATTGTTTTTCCTGAAAAAAAAATATCGTTATAAAAAAAAGAAAAAAAAAAAGAAAGTTTTAAAATTCAAATTAGTTACCTTTTGCTGACACCACAAGGCATCGTTTTCCTATTGGACACAAAACAACGTACCAATTTTCCTCTAAATCACAAGGTATTTCATACATTTGTTCTGCATACATTACTTGATTACTATATAAATTAGGCATCTTGTTAAATTGATAAAAAATTCATGTTCGTAATAGAATTAAATTTACCTATATGGGTTTCTTGCTCTACGTTTACGTCGGAAAGTTTTAGCAGGTCTAAGCCTAGCTCTTTTGAATAAGGAATTCTGAACCGCGTCGTCTTCTTCCAATTCTAGTCTACGTTTCGTTGATTGAATTAATTTCGAAGATTCGGCGTGAACTTCACTTGGATACTCTTCCGTCTCCGATTCATCGTCCGACAGTATAACAGTTGGTTTGAAGAGAGCAAGATTTCTCGCGTGCGCGGTAAGATCACGTCTTCGCTAAAATGTTTTAAAGGTTATCTTACGGTAACTAAAAAAAAAAAATCAAAGAATATCTCGTGTATTACTTTTTTTTGGTCCTCCAAAGCTCGTCGCCGCCTCTCTTCTTGCGTTTCTTCTCGACTCCTGGTATGTAATGGTGAGGCTTTGTAATGCCTTTGTCGAGATGTTCCACCTACTGTAGAGGCCGAAAGCATTTCCGAAACCTCGTCTATGGCTATTTGTATGTGGACTTTTTCTTTTATCTTATCATCGTTCCCTAGCATAAAATTAATATTATCATGGTTCGCAGAAGTAACAAGTTCGTTAGAATTGTTTTCTTCCAAAATTTGAGCCATAAAATTCCGAAGCAAAGCATGTACTTACATATTGGATCTTATATAAGAACTTATTATTGGCTATATGGTGCGCCAATTTTAAAAAACATTATACGTTGCTTATGTAAGCTTTGTTATTCTCGAAGATTTTTGGACCCTATAATTGTGATCGTTATGTGGCCGAAAAAAATCATATTTAGTATTTTGGTCGCCTTCAAGAATAATTGCCCACATACTTATTCTCCAATTAATATCACATAAAATCATCCTGTGAAATTCCAGACTTACTTCGAACCCTGTGTATCGCGAATTTAATATCTCGACCAACTCGTTGTTTGCAAATTGAAAACCGCGAAATAATGATTCATTTATTTTTCGCGAGCTCACCGCTCGTCATCGTTCAAGATTTTAAGAGGATCAATATTAATTTTATTTTTCAACTTATAATCATGTTATGTTAAAATGATATTTTTACATAATAATTGACTTGTTTTTTTTTTTAATTGTGCTTTACTAAAAAATAATAAACTGCTCATATACAGTATATTCATGAATTGATAAAGCTAATAATTTACTTATTTTTGTCAATTTTGACTGCAGTCATCTGCTTTCAGTTTTTCCAAATAACAAATAAATTTGATAAATATAGAGTTTATTTCTTGTTGATAAGAAATTAGCTCCTATTATATGATCTTTTATTCTTTCAATAGATTTAAGCTTCTTTTTAATGTTTTTATTAATCAAGAGTTTATTCTAGATTCTCTATGCTTTTCATTATTACAGCTGTGAAAGAACTAGTATATTGTTTATAAGTTAAAAGTAAAATTAGCTGTTTTATCTATTAATTTGGTCTCACCAATATCTAAAGTTTTTATATTAAGCTCTTCTATAATTCTATATAGCTTTTGTTGATTTATATTGATATTGATATCTTTAATATTGTATATACAGTGTGGAACACTTGTTTTTGAAAAATTTTTTTTTTTTTTTTTTTTTTTTTAATCCACAATTATGTCACAATGGCTTGTCTTTATTGAAAAATTGAAATAAATCTACAATAATTTACAGATCTTTACAAAGTGACTAACTTATCTTCATACATAAGTATTCTAAGTCAGATTTTGAGAACAATATTATATTTTTCTAATAGATTAATAATAATCTCTATCTATCAGAATTATTGTCAATAGTTTGTTACTGTTGATTGCCTGAAAACCAATTAATTGCTAAGTTAAAAAGGCATAAAGTGAAAAATGATTGGAAAAAGAAAACAATTCAAGATTCACCAAAAAAATCTAAAAATAAAAACAATCTCTTCTCAAAAGGGATCTGCCTGATTGGGATAGTCTTCTTATTTTACTTAAACCTTAGAAGAAATCTTCTCTTTCATCACTTGCGGCATTAGATAAGTCAATTTAATTGGTTTTTCATTTAAGTAAATATCAGATTGGAATATTTCAAGGAAAATATTTAGACTTCAGCTTTTTTTCATTAAAGCTTTATTACCACTTGAGAAACTTAAATAAAAGATGGAAGTTTGCAATCCATATTATTTATCATTTGGTCTTTTGGTATTATGAAAATCTTTATTAAAGAACTTGAACATTAGGAAGCAAACATTTTTGAAATTTTTTTTTCAATTATCAACAATATTATCAGAACATATAAATATTACCAATAAAAGCTTATTTATATTCTAAAAACTAATATGTTTCATGTTAACCAATTACATTTGGTAAGAATTTATGTTACTTAAAATTCAAGATCAAATAGAGATAGATAAAATTTTTTAGAAAATCATAAAAGTGAAAGTTTTAAGAAGGTCAAGATAGTCAAAAAGAGAGAAAATAAGTCTTTTTACTGCAAAAAACCTCTATAAATCTTTTGCTTCAAAGATTAAATAAACCTTCAAATACTTTCTAATCAGTTCTTCTTATTTTAGAAATTTTTTTGCCATTGGTATCAAAAGTATTACTTGACTTTTTTTGATTACTAGAAGTTAAGTTTTTAAGTGAAAAAGTTTGTAAACAAAAGTAAAAGAATAAAAGTGACTTTTGAAGTTATATTTCAAGTTGTTTTAAGAAAAGTATTAAAACTTTATTAACAAAGAAGTGTAAAAACTTCTTGCAAACATCTTTTTTGTATGTGATCAGAGAATCAGCAGAAAGAGTTTTTATTTTTTAATTTTTTTTAATTTTATTTATAAATAAAAATTTATTAATTAAATATTATAAACTTTATATATACTATATATTTTTATAGAAATATATTTTTATTAAACAATTCAAACTCTTTCTACTGATCAATTTTACCATTAATTCCAAAGCAATGTTCATCAAAAGTTTTATACTTTTGTGTTAATAAAGTTGCTATACTCTTATTAAATATACTTTGTAAATACACTACAAAGCACCTTCCATCCAGTTTTATTTTTTTTTTCATTTCTCTGATTGGCTTGAGTGTCAGTTTCAAGTCAAAAGTAAATGAGATAGAACCTGAACTCTTAATAACAAGAAAGAATACTTAGGAAGAAGACTTCTGATTGAAGACTTCCCTTCAAGACTCTATAATAGGGCAGGCAAGTTTACAGGAAGAGTATTTGCCAAAGACTATAATATGTACGGTGGTCTTGTTTTTTAGAAAATTCACTAGATTTCAAGCTTCCTGAAGTGTGTAAACAAATATTCAGTTTTTTGGAAAAATTTTACCTATCTTTTTTTATCCTGAATTTTTGGTTACACCAGATCTGCTAGAATTTCATTGGCTAGAGATTTGGAGTTGAATAATGGCATCAATAATAAAAGATAAACAAGATATACATATGTTTCACGTATTCCTTCTCATATTACCATCTTTGTAAATAGATGTTGCTCTCATTATGATCATCAACTTAATCTAGTATATGTACTTTAAGGACTATATATACTTAGGCCTATTTATTGAAACTGCATCCTCCAACAAAATTAAAAAAGAAAGAGTTTATCCAACCATAGTAAAGGTTACAAGACACTTCAATCATTTTTAGTATTGAAGTTACCTATTCTTGATAGTCAAGTAGGTTTTAGTAACTTTTACAGATAGGCAAAGATCTGTTTAATTTTTATAAAAAACAAACAAGGTGGATAGAAGGTTTTTCTCAACCAACAGGTTTTTTATTCTTAATTCATGATTTGTAGAAGGATCAGAAACTAAAGACCAATATCAAGACTTTCAACATGATTCCCTCTTAAGTATGGCCATTTCGGCTACCAGTGGTACTTATCAATCTTACTTCTAGTAAAAATACTTGTTGAAAACTATTGTCAGATTGGAAGATTTCCTAAAGACTTAGTCTGACTTTGAAAGAGTTACACCTTTTTAAATAAGTAGCTTATGCTTGAAGCTGATATTATCTTTAGAATTGGATCATCAACCTCTTCACAGGTTTTAAGGCACTCTCCTAATCGTAGATCCTATCTGATCTTTGAATGAGTAGTCCTCTAGTCAAACTCTCAGATATAATAGTATTAATAAAATTAGTCTCTGAAATTACTTCTTTCCTATCTGAAAAGAAGAAGATATAAAAAAAGTTTCTCCCTCTTCCTTTCAAAAATAATGAGATACAGTACTTCAGTAGATAATCTGTAAGTGTTGACTTTTTCTTGATATTAGTTCCAGTAGATAGTCAATAATAAAAAAAATTTAGATTTTCATCTGGCAATGCTCCAGTGTTTTTTTCTTTATATTCTTGTACTAGTTTAAAAGTAATTTTAGATTAGTCTCTTCAGGTTTGGAGTAGCAACATGCACTTTGGTAAACTATTAGGTTTTAGAAAGTTTAATAGTACTTTTAATTATTATAATAATTTTAATATATTTTAAATTTTATTCTATTATCACTAATAAATATAGTTGAGCGGCAATCAAAAAAAAAAAAACTATATATTTTTATAATATAATAAATAAGTTTACTTAAGCTTTAGTAAAATATTTCAAATATAAAATATATAAATATTTAATAAAGCACTTATATCTAGCTTGACTAAAGATTTAAAAAAAATAAATAAGTTTACTTAAGAAAATTTTTAAATTTTAATAATATAATTTTATAAACTTTCAAATTAAAATTAAATAATTAAATAATAATAAAAAAATTTTTTTTTTTTTAAACCCATAGTCAGGCCAGTACTGTGTGTTTATTAATCAATATGAAAACTGATAAAGATACATAGGGCAATTGTATTATGGCTAAACTAAAAACTTTTACTGACACACTTGTCAATAATTTTCAATTCTCAAATGAGCTTCAGTCTCTAAGTGCAATTTTGGAAACAATATTTTGCTTTGAAATAAGTTTTGGATGAAAACTCTCCTAATTTACCCATTATTGTCAGCAGGTTGTCACTGCTTATTATTCTCCAAGAAACTGATTTTGAGAAACTATAAAAGGAAAAGGGAAAAAGAAAAGGAAAAGGAATATCTAAAAATGCACAATTGTATTACATGAAAATAAAAAAAGAAAAAGAAAAAATAAAAGTGTCCATGTTCTCCAAAGAACCTCTGTTAAAAATCTCTTCTCATTAGAAATTGACCCTTCTGGGATATCCTTCTTTTTCCTGACCATCTGAGGAACTTATCCATCCATGCTCTTGATTATTTTCTTGTGACCATCTGAGGTACTTATCACTTACTCGGATCCAGTGTCTTGCTCAATGCTCCCTTTCTTTTGGTCTTGATTTTATATCTACCTGTGCAGAAGTGAATGGTTAATGATGAACCCCAAGTTCTTAGGTAACTTTTCAGTCTTTTTGTATAACTCCAAATATCTTCCAGCAGCCATACCTAGTTAAAGGAATTTTACTGATGTATATCTTCCATTATCCAAAAAATCAAATTCTCCAACAATCTTTTTGCCTTGTAATGGTGGGAGGATATCAGACAGTATGAAGATCCTCGTCGATTACAATATCATTACACAATATCTGAGGAAATACATTCTCAATCCTAGAGAAGGGCAGTGTTTTATATTCCTCTACTTTTCAA